AGAGCGCCGGATTGTGTTCTGCGGGAGGTCGAGGGTTCGAGCCCCGGCCGGACCGATACTCATGGTCTTTAAATAAGTGAGGAGAATTTGCTACCTTTCTATAATCAATAAAAGGATAGATATTCTAGTCTTCCCGGATAAGGACGAATTAACCGTAGGCCCCGTCTCCTGCAGGGTTAGGGGTAGGAGACGTTAATTTCCCACGCACGAGATTACTGTGTTGTGGATGTCCTCCCCTGGGGTGGGATGAGTGGGAATTGGCCCCGAAAAGCCCCCATGGGGAGTGGTCAACTAATGTATGTATGTATGGTAACCTAAGGTTACTTTCTGTATAGTGGTAGCTTACCCGGGGGAAATCACTCAGCAAGATTCCGCCTCCCTAGAAATTACTCGAGTTTTACTGACTGATTTAACAATCTCCATGGTTGACCCATGTATCGACCCATACAGGAAGTAGATGTAACAGGTCTGGTTGTTTATACAATACAATTTACTTTAATGGTTTTAGAATTTCCACGAGACATGGTTTAAATGGGGTAAACCTGAAATTCGCTCAAAACTTGAGTATCTGTTTTGCTTCGTACTTGTTATTTTTTGGTTTTTAATTATAGAGAAATAAATTACCACTTCAACGGCGACACGGTTTTTTTTTTAAATTCATCAGTTTATAACGTTTTATTCTGGCATTCAGTCGCCAAACAGGCAGAATTGAACCAGGCACACTTTGTGTAGTGTTATATGATAGAGATTAAAGTCTGTCATGATGGGATTGAGTTAGCAGTTGTTATGCAACAGTCACAGAGCTTCTAAACGTGGTTAAACTGTGCTAAAGTTGTCGAAAATGCTTGGAGGAAGGACCATATGTTGTGTTTCATATATAGATACATATATATATTTTATATACATACATACACACACACATACATATATATATATATATATGTATATGTGTAACTGCAGACAGTACTGTTTCGGCCTTCTAGGGCTCATCAGTGCAGTGCGAATAATTGTCAAATATTGAAGTCCACCTTCATAATCATACTTTCTCTTGTGATGTAAAGGAACGACTAATGCTTTCAAGCGAAGACTTCAATTCTCTCAAAGGATCTTGAAAATACATGAACCCAGCTTTTGAATGAGAACAAATAAAATTTATCTTATCATCAAAACTATTCAGGCGTATCCTTCGGTATTGATCTCTTTGTGAGTCACGAGCAACTTGTACAAGAAGAGGCACGATTTCTTCAAATTCTTCTGAAGCTCTTGAGGCAGAACGTTCGATGCTTTCCAGTACTCTCCTTGCCTGGGAATTTTTAAAACGCAGTGACTGAATTTCTCCTTCCATTCGTTGCATAATTCCGTCTACCACTTTCTGATAATTAGGCGAGCTGATGTTATCCACGGTTTCTTGGCACCCCTTGAGGTCCCAGCAGTTGAGTTCTCGTGCCTTGTTGATGCACTTCACTTGTAACATCTCCAGGTTGTATGACTGTGCAGTAACTAAAACATCTAAGCACTGGTATGAGTTATATCTTGGATAACTTAACTCATCCATCAGGAACTTTTCGCATTTCTCGGTGAGCTTCCTCAGCAGGAACGAGTAGTTCTTGTCATCGATCTCTTTGGCAGAAGTTGGGTAAATAACCAACAGCATCTCTCTTATCTCGCTCACATTCTTCCCTGGAAGTAGCACTTCCTCAGCTGTTTTCCCGCTGAACTCTGAAGTAAACATTTTCGAAAAAACTGGTGACCACATCGCTAAGATACTTCGGTGAACGTGAAATCTTTCCTCTTCCACCTTCAAAACTTACCTTTGAGACGATGTCGCATGTACTTGCATGTAGGCTGGCTAT